TCGAACACCAGGCATGGTTTTGCCACCTCCTGATTTCGCGGTTGGCGGTAGCCATTGGTGTCAGAAGTGCTTGTGGCTACTATCATAGTGGAGAAAATGGATGTGGAGGTGGTGGGTTTAGTAGAACCCCTATTTCCTTGGGGAAATTGTTTTTCATCTTGGCCCAGAAAGAGTGCATCCTCTTCTACAACATGACACAGAGCCAGGAAGCATGGATGGATGGGCAGGATGGCAACAGAGAAAAGTCTAGACTGAGGTCCCAAAGCCTGGTAGGAAACCATCGATTGGTGCCTTTTTGGAAACTCCCAGAGGCTGCACAGATCCAGTGAGTGCCACGCTGGACCCTTAGTGCAGTGGTAGAGTTCATTTAACTCCTATATTCTGCAAGTGGCCTGCAGTTGGACTTGGAAGCTGTGCTTCATTAAGAAAAAAAAAAAGGGGGCGCCTGGGTGACTCAGTCGGTTGAGTGTCCGTCTTCGGCTCAGGTCATGATCTCATGGTTCGTGGGTTTGAGCCCCACATCGGGCTCTGTGCTGCCAGCTCAGAGCCTGGAGCCTGTTTCAGATTCTGTGTCTCCCTCTCTCTCTGACCCTCCCCTGCTCACGCTGTCTCTCTCTCAGAAAAAATAAATAAAAACATTTTAAAAAATTAAAAAAAAAAAGAAAAGAAAGCAGTTTACGGTCATCACTGAGCAACTGAGTGCCTCTGAAGATTCATAGAGGGCGTCACCTTTGTCCTCAGGCATTGAGAACAATGTTAACATGTAAAGGGTTGAAAAAATTATAACACTATATGTTAACTATGCTGGAGTTAAAAAAAAAAGTATTAAAACAAAGTGAAAGGGAGAAAAAGGAAGGAAGGAGGAAAGAAGGAGAGAGGGAAGGAAGGAATGAAGGAGGGAAGGAAGGAAGGGGGAGAGAGGGGAGGGGCGGGAGGGAAAGAAGGAAGGAATGAAACAAGAAAGGGGGGAGGGAGGGGAGGGAGGGAAGAAAGGAAGGAGGAAATGAAGAAAGGGGGGGAGGGAGGAAGGAGGAGGGAAAGAAAGGTGGGAGGGAAGGAGGGATGGAGGGGGAGAGGGAAGGAAGGAAGAAAGGGAGGGGGAGGGAAGGGAAGGATGGGGGAGAGAAGGAAGGAAGGCAGGAAAGGAGGGGAAAAGGGAGGGAGGGAGGGAGGAGAGGAAGGAAAGAAGAAAGGGAGGGAGGTCAGTAGGTGGGTCAAGCAGCGGCCCTGGGAGCCTGTTCCAGGGGCTTGGGTGGGACTGACAAATCGCCTACTAACGTCTCCTGACTTTGCCCTTGTCTCTCCCGTGCGGCTCCTTTTTGACTCTGGGCAGCCAGAGCTGTTGCTGCCCTCTGAGCAGTAGGAGCTGCAGCTCCAGAACGGCACCCCGAGCCCCAGGGAGACCCGCGCTGCCCCGGGGCTGTCTTGGACCAGACCACGTCGATGGCCACTGCCGTGCAGCTGGGACAGAGCAGCCTGGTTCTCAGCCACAGGAGTATCCTCTTCCCTGGCCAGTCTGCGAGCATGTGCATGTCCTGCGCGGGAAGTCTGCTGTTTGGAAGTCCTTTTTCTCCCCAAAAGCTCAGCTGGGCTAAGAATAACCCTGTTTTCCCTCAAGGTCTGACAATCAGAAGGAACCAACCGAAACAGCAGCGCGGCTGTGTAGAATTGCTCACCTCGGCCGGTCACTCACCAGAGAGGCTCCCTGGGTGGGAGGCGGTGGGTGGCAGGAGCCAAGCCTCGCTCCCCGCCTCCGAGACCATCTCGGGCGTGGGTGGCCTCATCCCAGGGGCCCGGCCAAGGCTGATTCCACACTGGCCCATGGGTCGTCTCTGTCCTAGACCTGTTCCTGCGGTCTCCACTGTCCCCTGCGGAGATCCACCTTTGCTCACGTAGGAAGTGCGGCTGGGCCCTGCATTCTGGAAAACGGCTTTGTTCTGTTTGGCCTCAGGTAGGGGAGTTCTCTTCTCCTCTCCTTGGCTCATGATGTCTGTCAAGCCCAGTCGAATCCTGCCCCCTCGTCTGTTTTCCTTCTTCCATTTTGTTCCTTAATTACGAATTCAGGTATCCGCATGCAGGGTGCTTCCAGGTTACCCCACAGCACCATCTACGTGGTTGAGCCTGGATACCTGGGTGAGTCTGGTAATCATGGGGCGCCCTGGGTGTTGGTGATTTACAGGGGTTATGAAAAATAAAGGCAGTGGCCCCCCAGAACATGCTGCATGCTGGCCAGCCCTGCCAGTCCTTGCCTGGGTGCTCCCCACTCCTTCCCCCACTGATGGACAGAAACAAGCAGAGGAAAGGCCGAGGTCAGGGTAGGTGCCAGCTCAAGAGAGAGATGTTTGGGTCGAGTCAGCGGGGCTTTGTCTCTTCCTGGGTTTTATTCCAAGGCTCTGTCCAGACCTGACCATGGCTGTGGGCATTTAGAGGTTGGGGGCCCCAATGGGCAGCACAAAGGAGCCCCTAAAGCGACGTGACAGTAAAAGTCTCAGTGGGGAGGAAGGGGAGGCACCGGACTGAGGGAGGGAGGAATCTACAGAGTTGGAGGGCCCGTAGGGGCAGAGCCAGGGCCCAGGAACTACCGTAACTGACTGCACCTGGCTTGGGAAATGCCCATGACACGTGTCACCCCGGTCATGGTGACAGTGCATCCTTTGTGTTTCCTCAGCATTGACTCACCCGTTGAGCATACTGAATGGTTCAGGCCAGACAGCACTTGGCTGACACGCTGCAATCCCCTAAGTCCTCTCATTAGCTGCCACGTGAGCCTGCTGTTTGGTGTGGACCCACGCTGACGTCGTAGTGACACCAGCCAGAGTCGCCCTCTGTGTCTCAGGAGCTTCAGTTATTCAGAAAGGTTTTCTTGGTACCCTCCCTCCATCTGGCCTGTGCTGGGCACTGGAGTTCTGGAAGGAGGAAGCTCAGGTCCTGGTGCAGGAGAGACCAGTGTAAACAGACGGGGACAGGACAGTGGTACAGAGCCAGGAGATGTGAGTGCAGAAGAGAGTTTTCACAGGAGGGGCTCCTTTGTAGGCAGGTCAGCCTGGCCGAGGTTAACAGCTGGGGCGCAGGTGTGGGGAGAAAGCTCATGGTGTCTCGGGGGTCAGCAAGCAGCTGATGTGGCACCTCATGTTGGAACATAGTTGGAGCGTGGGAGGGAGGGCCGCTCACACAGCTAGAACACTGAGTGCCAGGGCTCAGAGGGAAGACCTGTGGATCCTGAGCATTACTTACTGGGATTCAGTGGGTAGAATCCTGTGGATTAAGAGCATAGACTCACTCTGGATTCAGAGGTAGACTCACTTTGGATTTGAATCATAGATACACTGCAGATTCTGAGTGTAGACCTACTGTGGATTCAGATGTAGACTCACCATGTATTCAGAGTGTAGACATACTATGGATTCAGAATGTAGAGCTATTGTGGATTCAGAGTGTAGATGTACTGTGGATTCAGATGTAGACTGTGGATTCAGAGGATAGACCTACTGTGGATTCAGTCTAGACTGTCCGTGGACCATCTGATCAAGTCTGAATGAGGCCTTGAGCAGTGAGTGTGGGATGTGGAGGCTGGTCCTGGGGAGTCTGAGAGATAACCTCAGGTTCTGAGGGCTCAGGTTAATGGTGGACATTAGAGGTCACCACGATTAGCAGCTCTTCTTTCTCCTTGGAGGAGAGCAGGTGAGTGGTTTTGGGGCTTCAGGGCTGGTGGTGCCTGGCACCATCCTCTTCCTCAGCTGCCCGCCGCTGTGGTCCAGTGGTCAGGCTTTGTTGCTTGCCTGTTTTGTAGGGTTCACAGTTCAGCCTGGGGGCCAGGTGGGTGCTGGAGACCGGACGCCTGTATGAAATCACCAGTGACGTGCTTGACAAGTCTGGCAACAATGTCTACCTGCCTGACGTGAGTGCCTGCCTTGGGGCCTGGAGGGGTATCCCCATGTGGGAATGTGTCCCCCAGAGCAGTGCCCGAGGCATCAGGACCCCACACGGGCAGGCCAAGTCCAGTGGTCCCTGGTGGTGCCGCTGGGTCCATGGGAGACAGTGCTGTGGGATCCGGGGTGCCTCTCAAGACTTTGTGAGTCTGTGAGTCTGCACCCCTGGCCCTCTCCCTGTAGGGCTGGAGCGGGGAGAGGAAGCCACAGGCAGCACAGCCCACAGAGGCAGTGATGGGGAAGCAGAGTCCACCAGCTACCTTCCCGCTCCTTCATCGTTAGCCTGAGACTTCCCCTTATTCTGCTGAGGATCTGTCTTTCCCTGCTCTGCACAGGATCAGGGAGCACATCCTGACCTTTCCCTGCGGGGCCAGGAACGCCTATAACTCTACCTGGAAGTCCCAGGGGACCAAGGCTACCCTCCATTGGCTTTCTGGCTCTAGACAGAGGCAGGGAGAGAGGAGTCTTGGCACATTTTGTTCCTTCATGAGAGGTTTCCAGGATCCTCAGGCAGACCATCTGGGGCCTTCTGGTGGCTTCTGAGGTTTTAGAAGGAGGCAAGGTCCCCCTTAGGCAGCTTTGCCAGTCATCACTTTCCTCGTGTTACTGAGCAAAGACCTATTGGTCACCCTTTTTTGGGGGTGGAGGGGAGAAAGCTCTCATGGATGTTGACGACCTTTCTTGTGGTTTGGTGTTTAGTGGTTTTCTTGCTGGGACCTCAGGGTCTGAGAAGGCTGACATGGGCCTGAGCAGCACGTGGGTGATCACAGCAGGAGCACTGGGTCCTCGGGCCATGCAGGGGGAGCACAGGGAGGGCTCAAAGGCCGGAGTGGTCAGAGCTCCGTTCTGGGGCTTTGCCCCCAGCTCAGAGCCTGAGCGGCCCCGTGGCCTGGCCACCCTCTCTCCTTTCCGGGTCACCTCTCTCCTTTCTGGACTCTTCCCAGAAGCGCCTCTCTCACCCATCCTGCCCCCCTTCCAGAATATCCACAGTGACACCATGTTACCTCCCAAGTTCTTTGAGGTGCTTGCTCGCTTCTTCCCAGAATGTCTTGGACCATCATGTCCGGGCGACAAAAAAGGGCCAGACAGCCGTTGAGGCAGCCCTCACCTCTATAGTGGACCAGGTAAGTGGGCACCCCCACTCCCTGCACCTTCCCTGGCTGGACATGAGCCCTGGGGAGTCGGGGCCCCTGGCTCAGCCTGTGCGCTGCTCTCATGGTTCCTGTGGGGGTCATCTCCCATCTGGGCTCACGAGGGCTGTCTGGTGGTGGGGCTTTGGGCTTTCTCTGCCCCCATTCCCACACTGGGTGGCCCTCTTCCTCTGCCCTTCGCCAGCCCCTGTGAAGGTGAGCCCGTGTTTCTGGGACTGGGGCAGAGCCCTATTGGGGAAACCACACTGGGCCGTGTGCAGATCCCTTTGGCTGTTGTGGCTGCTTGGGTCCTTCAAAGTCTCATTTTCCCCCTTTATTTAAAAGGCTGGTCAGTTTTAGGTGTGAGCAGTTTTCTACAGATTGGGAGATTGGCATGAGTGTTCTCCGACCCTGCACAAAACCATTCCCAGAACTGTGGGAGGAGGTGGCTAGAGCAGCAGAAAGAATGGTCTGTGGGTCAGGCAGCAGTTCCTACCAGTCTATCACTTGAGCTCCGAGGGCTTCTGGGCAAGTTGCTTTCATGCCTGTGCCTCAGTTTTCCCACCTGTAAAGTGGGATAACCATATCATTCTATCTGATGTGCCGTGAGGATGCAGTCAGGCAGCATCTACTTGAGTGGCTGTTACAGAGCCATGGAAAGCCATCTCCATGGGAACAGGAGGCTGCAGGGTGTGCTCCCTGACAATCACAGCATCTCCTTGTGACCTGATCTCCAGGGAGGGGTAGGGGTCTGGCTGAGTGCAAAAACTTCTGATGACCAGGTCGTCATGGAGACATGCGGTGCCCTCACCCCCTTGTAGGATGGAGGGGTCCACACATTGAGGGTGCCTGTGTGGAACCGGTGGGAAGTAGAAATTCACATCCCCGTCACCCTCTATCCAAGCATCTTGATGTTTCTGTGGCAACCAAAGACAGGTGCCTGTCAGTACACAATACAGGTAACTGTGACCCCCCCACAGCTGGGTACATTCCTTTAGGTGTTTCCGTGGGATTGGGGATTTTTGGCTAATCTGTGTCTAATACTGTTACCTTCTAGTGGTTGGAGAGAATTTAAAATCCAGGAGTTTTTATGCTTTTTCTGTTTTGTGGGGTTTCTATCACAGCATTGCATTTTAGTAATCAGAACAACAAAAACAAAAACCAGAATGACAGACCAGGAAGCAAAATAAAGAAAATCTGGAGCACAGATTTAACTTCAGCATGCATTTGTTTTGTAAAAAAAAAAAAGTTTCCCAAAAGCAGTGTCAATATCCTTGGAGAAGAATTTGAAATTCAAGGAGAGAACAGTTCTCATTGTCATATATCAAGTGTTCTCGGTCCCACCTGGCCTCAGTCAGCAGGCACTGACTGACTCCCATTGGGGCCAACACCATCCCCGCTCTCTCCTTGCCAGTGATGACTGTCACCAGCACCTGCTGCCTGCTCACCCACATGTGTCCCCATCCTGGCCTCTCTGGGGTGCTGGCCCCCAAAGTGGGGAGCGGCTGGGCTGCCTGTACTTCAGGGGGATGACAAGCAGTGGGAGGGGTGTATGCCGGGAGGGAGAGCAGCCCTGCACCTAGCCGTGTGGCCCAGGGGGCTCCCACTCAGGTCTGGAGGTGTCGCCAGTCTGGGACTGGTGTCACAGGCATGTGCGTGCGTGTGTGTCAGCCACAGGCCTCCAGAATATGAGGACCAGAAATGAGACCCAGTAGAGAGCGAGGTGGGGAGGCGGCCTCCAACTGGGTGCTGAGAGGCTGTTGACCGTGTGAGTTAGAGGTGAGCGTGAGTGTGTGACAGGAAGAGACAGAGAAAGAGAGACCAAGCAGGCTGGCTAATGTGACGGTTTCTTCCCCAGGCCCATGGAGGGATCAGGAACTTCAGCTGATCATCAAGCTACATGGTGGCCACAGTCACTGTCAAGGGTGTGATGACCACAGGCAGTGAAATTGGACTCAGTGTGATCCAGGCACATGATATGCAGAACCCGCTACATTTCCGGGAGATGAAGGTGAGACCTCAGGGCCTCGGACAGCTGGGGGGGCAGGTGGGGTTGGGGGTGGGCAGCAGCTCAGGATTGTGGTCTGTAGCCCACCTTCTCGCACCCAGCCCTCAGTCTTCTACTGGGTGTTGGGGGAGGGGAAGGGGGGGACTAGGGGTCAGTCCCCAGTCCCTCCCTTGAGGAGGTCACGTCACAGCAGGCAGGGGGATAGATGAGACCAGAAGGGCCAGTGTCAGCATAGTTAGAGTTTCTGGAAGGGAGATCAGAGAACACAGAAGACATGAGATAACTAAAGGAGTCATTCTAGAAAAGTCCTCAGACCCGAAAGGAATGAGTCTCCCAGTCAGAAGTGCTGCGGAGTGCTGGTAAATTCCCAGTGAAGGGGAGACATCATAATCTGTGAAACCTGGCTTGGACTCCTCTCCTTCCCTGTACAGGGGCCCAACACCTGGCTGTTGACCCCAGGTTGTTGCAGGACTGACTCATGTAGCAAGGGCCATGGGTGGTGGGTGGGAGTCCCCTGCAGCGGAGGCACTGCCAGCCACGCCTTCTGACTTCCTGACCCCGACCTCCACTGCCTCTATCACTTCACTTAGGGCAGAAGTCAAAGCTCCAAACACAGTGTGTCCTCTCAACCTGCTCTTACGTTGTTTGGGACCCAGATGGACAGGTTGTTCTGGTCCTTTTATCTGGATCCAGGTAGATACACAGGTGCACACGTGTGCACTCCTGTCTAAAGAGCGATCTCATTCTCACATACACGAGTGGTCTCGGTTACAACCGAGATGCTTTCAGCGACAGCATCATTGTCAAATGTGTGAACTGTGACCACCTTCTCCCTCCCCCCTGAGCTGCTTTAGTCTCAGTGAATGTACTACCTTTCATCCAGTTGCTCAGTCAGCAGCCTGAGGACAGTTCCTTGAGAGGCTGTGTAAAGGCCCCAGAGGCCAGTCTGTCGTGTCCAGACCCACCATCCAGGCTTTTTCATCAAGTAGATGTGGCTAAACAAACCTCAACAAAGAGCCTGAGAGCTTTGAATGAATTAGCAGTGTTTTTAGAACAGAACCTGGAAGGTGGCAAGTTTTGTTTTATACAAGTGTCATCTTTGGGTGAGGATGCCTCCGTCGCCCTGCATTGTGGCCTTCTTTATGTCCCTGTAGCAAGCTGAGCTGGTACACGTCTCAGGACCTTTGCACTGGCTGTCTCTTCTTCCTGAATGTTTTGCCCCTTCATTCTGTCTGGCTGCCTCTGACCTGGCTCTCAGGGCTGAGTTCACCTTACCAGAGGGGCTTTCCCTGACCGCTCTGTCCCCTAGTTCACCACAGTCCCCAGCACACATGTCCCCCCAGCTCAGTCTTCTCACTGGCGTGTCCTTAGTGCCCAGTGTGCAGTGGCTCAGCCCTCCCTTTCCCATGGAGCCCGATGACCCCCATCCACGCCCCTGTCCTCCAGGTGTACATGATGGAGCCCAGAGGCATGGAATTCGCACCATGCCAGGTAGAGGCATGCATGGGCCAGACTTTGGAACTGCCTCTCCGGATCAACAGACTCATTCCTGGCAGGGCCGATGAGGTGGTCACTCTGAGTGACTGCTCCCATTTCGACCTGGTGATCGAGGTGGAGAACCAGGGCATGTTCCAGCTGCTCGCAGGTATGCCGGCACCAATGAGTGGGTGCTGGACTTCCCCAGATGGCTAAATGGAGGGCTTGAGAGAGCAGGGGGGTCATTAAGGAATGGCATCTGTCCCCTTGTCCACCGTCAGCAGTGGTCTAGTCTGGCTCTCACCCATCATGTGACCTGCTTTGGGGACCCTCAGTTGCCACGTCTCTAAAATGGGTGTCATCCAAAATAGAATCACATGTCCTAGTGCCCATTAAAGTGCCTGGAATGCTGTAGGTACTCAGAATCCACTGTTATAGGGATTTTGGCTGGTGACAGAATCCTGAAACCTGGGTAGCATGCAGGGTCCACCCCTCCATGCACGTTGATCTTTCCTCTTTGGCCTACCCTGCAGGGTTTCAGGGGCGATATTGGTGGCAGTGGCAGTTAGTTGAAGGAACATCAACCCTGCCAGGTGTGCTGAGGAAGCGCTCAGTGTGTGTGAGTCCTCGAACTTCGCGGGAGGGGGAGCTGTAGTTGGGCCATGTGTCGGATGAAGAGATAGAGACTGCCTAGTTGCCCGAGGTCACCCAAGGGCACAGGTGAGGATGGGAGATAGACCCAGGTGTGTCTGACACTGACCAGGGAGCCATCCTCCCCTGAGAGATGGAGCGGGGTGGCACGAGGGGATTCCCACAGTGAAGAAGACCAAGGGCTGACAATCCTGCGAGCAAGGGAAGTTTTGCAGGGGGTGGAAGTAACAGGTGGGCAGGGTCTCTGCAGGCAGGGCCCGGAGGGGGTATGTCCATGGGACATGGGCACATACAGTGGTCCTGGTGCGGGAACCTATCGAATCCTGAATCGTGAAGGGCTCGGACTTCAGGGTCCAGGTAGTAGGACCCTGCTCCCGTGGCTGTGGAGCAGAGGAGCGATTGCTTGATCCTGAAGTTCAGGATCCGAGTTTAGGAAGCTCGGCTGGCGTAAATGTTTGCAGGGTCACCTGTGGTGCCAGGCGGCTTCACACACCACCACCATAGTTGTGGCAACTGATCTGAAGTGTCTGTTCCCCATTCTCTTCCCTTCCTCTCTGGGTCACCTGGAGAGAATACACTCTAAGACAGGACCTGAGCCTGGAGTCCTCCCTAAGCTGAGGAGGTATCCTCCCCACCACCCACCTCCACCCAGCCCAGCTTATGACACCAGGACACCTGCTTTAGATTCTCTGTCTCCCTCTCTCTCTGCCCCTCCCTGGCTTATGCTCTGTTTCTCTCAAAAATAAACAAACATGTAAAAAAAATTTTTTTTAAGCCTTGGGCCTGGCAGAAACCTCAGAATTGGCCTTTAGACAAGAGTCTGCCTCTACCACCACCCCCAAACCACGTGGCTCACCTCCTGAATGAAGCTTATCTTTTCCCGTCAAAACTGGTCTTTTAGTGTTTGCTTTTCAATCCATGGGCAGCTGAACTTGGGTTTTGGTAACAAATTTTGGCAAGCCAGCCAGGAGCTTTTGACCCCGTGTTATCCATTTTCTCAGGAATCCCAAGGTGGAGCAGTTGGCAGGTGGCTGGCCAGGGCTTCCTCCTTTGTTTCCTCATCTAGTACCTTGAAGGACCTCAGGAGGTTAGCTGCTCCAGGCTAGTTCTTCTCAGGGAGGGAATCTGAGGGATTGATTCCTATAGCTACCCAGACTATTTTTTGTCTTAGAGAAGCTGTCTGTTGATTCTCCACTGGCAGTAGTTGCTAATACACTTTTTTTTTTTTAATGTTTTATTTATTTCTAGGAGAGAGACAGCGTGAACAGGGGAGGGTCAGAGAGAGAGGGAGTCACAGACTGAAACAGGCTCCAGGCTCCGAGCTGACAGCACAGAGCCCGACGCGGGGCTTGAACCCACGAACCGTGAGATCGTGACCTAAGCAAAAGTCAGACGCTTAACCAACTAAGCCACCCAGGCACCCCATTAGTTGCTAATGCACTTTTTGTTTGAAGTGGAAAGGAAAGGAGCATTGGGGAAGCTGAGGAGCTTCTGGACTTCTGCTTCGGAGTGCACACTGCTTCAGAGTGCTCACTGACACGCGTTTCTCATTCACGAAGCACTGTGTGTTTTTGTTTCATTGACCATGCTTCTTGCATGAGAAAGACAAGACTTTTGGGTAAAACTAAAAGGGACTTGAATAATCATCAAATTATTTGTAATTTGGAAAAGATCTGTTTTGGTGTCTGTGTGTGTGGGGGGGTGGATTGTTGTATATAATAGGAAGTTCTATATCTATCCTGCCAAGGAACCTATTGAATTTTGAATAAGTGGAAGGACTACAGCAGGGAATCCATAACTAAGAAAAAGATCACTTTTATTGCAACATCACCTTGCCATGAACGTTCAGCTCTGAGGAATATGGCTAGGAAATGGCTGTCTTGCATCTCTTCCTTCCATTGGGTTGCCTCCAAAGACGGGGTTTGGGTGTGGCTTCTCAGCTTGTTCAGGGAACCCTTTGGTTCAGTCACTGGAACTCTGACTTTGGGAGAGGAACCAGAAACTAGGAAGCCATTTGTTTCAGTCAGTAAAGGCCAGTTTTTGGGAGAAAAGTGATGCCAACAGAGGTACTCTGGGCTTCCTGTAGTCATATTTTGTTTCTTCTATGTACTTTCTGAACTTTTGCCCAGGAAGACGGTACTCTCCTTCTGTTCCCGGAGGAAGCCCATTTTAAATATATGGTGCAAAGGACCAGAAAGCAATCAGAAAAAGAATAATGAACACATATTTTGTAAGAGAGAGAGGGAACCAAAAGAATAGAGGAATGATAGTCCCAACTTTGGATCTGCCTCTGGCCTTTTTTAAATTTTTTTTTTTCAATTTTTGAGAGAGAGACAGAGCACAAGCAGAGGAGGGTCAGGAGGAGAGTGAGAAACAGAATCCGAAGCAGGTTCCAGGCTCAAACCTGTCAACACAGAGCCTGACACTCAAACCCACGAGCCGTGAGATTATGAGATCATGACCTGAGCCGAAGTTGACACTTAACCAACTGAGCCACCCAGGTGCCCTGTCTTTGGCCTTTCTGACAGGACACTGGCACCTCTGCCTCCCCTCCTCCTCCACTTTCTGCACCAGCCAGGTGCAGTATGGGCACTGCTTGCTTAATAGGTTTCATCCTAAGTGCCTGGGCATTGTGGGTACATGCTTCTCCTACCCTCACCATCAAGATGCAAAAAGCAACTCAAGCTGTTGGGCCCCTTCCTCATGAGGTTCAAGCTAAATCCCTCCCAAATCAACATGAAAGGGACCGCGGGCTACCATGGACGTAAATCGCCCACTTTAGACTTCCCACCAAGTGCCCCAGGGAAAAACTGACAATGCTGAACAAATTGACTGATTTTAGGGGTGACAGGTGCAACATATTACTTATTAAAGCTAATTTCAGTTTATTAGTTTATTTAAAATAGACATGTCTTTAGTATTATCAGAATTAAGTATAAAACTTTTATGCTGCTAATGTTTGGTAAAGGTTAAAGGAGCTTGTGTTATTTCCTTTGTAATTTGTCAGCAAAAAGGTGAGTTAAAATGATGGTTAATTGTGTCTATCTCATAAATTTTTCATGGGTAATTGTAAGAACAGGTATGTTGATTACAGAAAAAGGTTTATAGATGTCAAAGTCACTGGTAAACTGAAATTTTAATGTAGTGCTAAACTGAATGATAAATTGGTTAAGTCTTTTCCACGTAAGATAGAACACTAAAGCATTGATTATTGAATGGAGGTTTATCTGCTTTTGATTCTTACTGCATAGAAAATGAAGATGTTTGTGACTATTGGTAAACATGCTTTGTGTTTTATTAAACGATTATACTGTGGGGGCATCTGGATGGCTCAGTTAGTTAAGCATCCGACTTTGACTCACAAAACTATGAATCTGAGCCCTGCATCGGGCTCTCTGTTGTCAGCATGGAGCCCACTTTAGATCCTCTGTCCCCATCTCTCTCTCTGCCCCTTCCCTGCTGTGCTCTGTCTCCCTCAAAATAAATAAATAAATAATGGAAAAGCTGCATTCAGACAGAACAAGAATTAATAATGTGTGGCTGAATGAAATCAAGAAGATGGTTATAGTTTTTAGGCCTCTTGTTTGAAACATTGCTAGCTTTTATGTTGACACTTCCAGACAGAAAGAAACGTTCTCTTAATATATCTATGACTTATGAAACATGATAAACTATTCCTTTGTGAACAAATTGGAACATTTAACTTTCTCTCTATCTAAACCCTCAGAGTTCAGAAACTGTCAGTGAATATTCTCTTTCATGGCAATTGCACTGTTTGTATAAGTTCAAAAAGAATTTGTTCTTTTTAACAGGACACCATTGGAAACATTGGTTACTTTACCAAGGCTTTGACTAGAATGTCGTATTTGAGAGAGAGATGCATAAACTCAGACATGACCAGACAGCATGAAGGAATTAAGGTTTATGGAGCTAATAAAACCCCTTGGAAATGGCTGGCTACCTTGCTTACAGAGTTCCCAGCAGCCTTACAAGTGATTAAAGAATGTCACTTCCTGGGCACCTGGGTGGCTCAGTCAGTTAAGCGTCCAACTTCAGCTCAGGTCATGATCTCCCAGTCTGTGAGTCCGAGCCTGCATCCGGCTCTGTGCTGACATCCCAGAGCCTGGAGCTGCTTCAGATTCTGTGTCTCCCTCTCTTTCTGCCCCTCCCCTGCTTGCCCTCTCTCTCTCTCTCAAAAATACTAAACATTAAAAAAAAAAAATGTCACTTACTGGCAGGCAGGTGCAGGAAACCTCAGGATATTTGGGGAACCTCGAGAAGAGGAATTGACCCAAATCTACACGTATTGCAAGCAAGTCTGATGGCAGGTATTTGGCTTAGATTCTGGCCTTGAGAGGCGATTAAAAGTTCAATCTAGAGATTCCTATTTGGAGAAATGTCTGTTCATATGTTGTCCTGCCCATTTCTTCACTGGATTATTTGTTTTTCTCATGTGGAGTTTGGTGAGTTCTTATAGATTTTGGATACTAGCCCTTTATCTGATAGGTCATTTGCAACTATCTTCCTATTCCATCAGTTGCCTATTAGTTTTATGGATTGTTTCCTTTGCTGTGCAGAAGCTTTTTATCTTGATGAGGTCCCAATAGTTCATTTTTGCTCTTGATTCCTTTGCCTTTGGGGATGTGTCAGGTAAGAAATTGTTGCGGTTGAGGTCAAGGAGGTTGTTTCCTGCTTTCTCCTCTAGGATTTTGATGATTTCCTTTCTCACATTCAGTTCCTTTATCCATTTTGAGTTTATTTTTATGTATGGTGTGAGAAAACGATCTAGGTTAATTCTTCTGCATGTTGCTGTCCAGTTCTGCCAGCACCATCTGTTAGCGAGGCTTTTATCCATTGGATACTCTTTCCTGCTTTGTCAAAGATTAGTTGGCTGTATACTTTTGGGTCCAATTCTGAGTTCTCTGTTCTATTCCATTGGTCTGTGTGTCTGTTTTTGTGCCAATACCAACTGTCTTGATGATGACAGCTTTGTAGTAGAGGCTAAAGTCTGGGATGGTGATGCCTCCCGTTTTGGTTTTCTGCCTCAATATTACTTTGGCTATTTGGGTCTTTTGTGGTTCCATACAAATTTTAGGATAGTTTGTTCTAGCTTTGAGAAGAATGCTGGTGCAATTTTGATTGTAATTGCATTGAATGTGTAGATTGCTTTGGGTAGTAATAACATTTTAACAATATATATTTTTCTGATCCATGAGCATGGAATGTTTTTCCATTTCTTTGTGTCATCTTCAATTTCCTTCATAAGTTTTCTGTAGTTTTCATCATATAGATCTCATATCTTTGGTTAGGTTTATTCCTAGGTATCTTATGGTTTTTTTGTGCAACTGTGAATGGGATCAGTTTCTTGATTTCTCTTTCTGTTGCTTCGTTGTTGGTGTATAAAAATGCAACTGATTTCTGTACATTGATTTTGTACCCTGCAACTTTGCTGAATTCATGGATCAGTTCTAGTGGGCTTCTTGTGGAGTCTGCCAGGTTTTCTATGTAGAGTATTATGTCGTCTGTGAAAAGTGAAAGTTTGACTTCATATTTGCCAAATTTGATGGTTTTTATTTCCTTTTGTTGTCTGATTGCTGATGCTAGGACTTCCAGCACTATGTTAAACAACAGTGGTGAAAGTGGACATCCCTGCCGTGTTCCTGATTTCAAGGGGCCAACAGACACATGAAATGATGCTCAGCATCCCTCATCAGGGAAATACAAATCAAAACCACACTGAGATACCACCTCACGCTGGTCAGAGTGGCTAAAATGAACAAATCAGGAGACTCTAGATGCTGGCGAGGATGTGGAGAAACGGGCACCCTCCTACACTGTTGGTGGAATGTAAACTGGTACAGCCCCTCTGAAAAACAGAACAATATGGAGATTCCTCAAAAAATTAACAGTAGAACCCTCCTATGACCCAGCAGTAGCACTGCTAGGAATTTACCCAAGGGATACAGGAGTGCTGATGCATAGGGGCACATGTACCCCAATGTTGATAGCAGCACTCTCAACAATAGCCAAAACATGGAAAGAGCCTAAATGTCCAACAACTGATGAATGGATCAAGAAGATGTGGTTTATCTATACAATGGAATACTACATGGCAATGAGAAATAATGAAATCTGGCCATGTGTAGCAACATGGTTGGACCTTGAGGGTGTTATGCTGAGTGAAATAAGTCAGACAGAGAAGGACAAATATCATATGTTTGCACATATAGGAGGATTAGGAGGTACTTAATGGAGGACCATGGGGGAGAAGAAGGGGAAAAATAGTGGGAGAGAGGGAGGGAGGCAAACCATGAGAGACTCTTGAATGCTGAGAACAAACTGAGGGCTGATGGGGGTGGGAGAGATGGGAAGGGGGGGATGGGCATGGAGGAGGGCACTTGTTGGGATGAGCACTGGATGTTATGTGGAAACCAACCTGACAATAAACTATATTTAAAAAAAGTTCAATCTAGAGATTCCTTACTGTGGGGAATAAGCTTAGGAATCCTGAGTCTGAACGATGGGTTATTAAGACACAAACGAGTTAGAATGCCATAGGATGAACACACCCATGTTTGGGTAAACAAGATGTGGTAGATGGGGCACAGCCCCCCAAAATAAGACAAACGGGACAAAGGCCCCCAGTATAGGACAAAGGTATAGAAGTAGGGAATCTCAGGATGAAAACATCCAAGATGAGGTAAATAAGATTAGGTATTCAGGGAAGAAATGCCCCCCCCCCCCTTAGTGCAGTAGAAGAAACCTGCCTCCTTTCACAGGAAGGAAGGACCAAATGAGGTAAACAGATAAATAGGGCTATAGACTGCAGCAGGGCAAAGCTGTCCAGAGCAGAGCTAATTAGCAAAAGAAAGGTGACTTGTTGACCCTGAGGTAGGATGCTCTTTCTTATCCCCTATGCCAGTTTAGGTAAACAGAGGCGGTGCCTCACATCTGCTGTAAACAACCTTCCACCTGGCACCAGGATTTTGTTTTGTATTGACCCAAACCCCTAACACCACATACCTTCCTTTCACTCACATCCATTAATTAATGTTCATGGTTTCACTGTCTCTTTGTGCACATCCATCACCATGGTTTAAGCCTTCTGATCCTAATAAAAATGGAGCAAGACCCTTACTTGAGGCTCTAGTCTCCTCCCAGACATTAGCCTCTCTCACGTTTTTAATCCTATGTCCTGCTTTCTGGCTGGACAAGAGAACTCCAGACCCAGAGTCTACAAAACCTTATGAAGTGTCCAGTGAAGCAAATTGAAAGATTCTATAAGGTTAACCTCTATTCTTGCTGAGCTTATATAAATAATTAAGGCAACTCTGTTAAAACTAGACATTTTTTTCAAGTGAAGTAGTCTCAACTTAGCTCTCTTTGGAAATGAGGATGATTTTAGAGAGAAAATTTGTTTTGTTAACACACCTGTGTGGATGTTAAAATCTAGTTCTGATGAACTATCTTTAATATTTGTTGTTTGCATAAGCTAAGCACCTTGAGGTAAACATCAGAAAAATTCCCACAACAGCTCATGTATATAGATTATATTCATGCTGCTACCTGTGGATAATAAAAGGACCTCAAGAGCATATGATTACTTGAACATCGAACAATTATGATGGACTCCTGACAGTGTGTAATTCCAATACCACTTTGACCAGTTCTATGTGGCTAAGATAAAAAATTGTTCCTTAAAACCCTGAGCTTATCTCATTCTATGAGGTTAACTGTGAACTTGTTCTGGAAGTACTGGATGGCTCTACTTTCCTTATCACTATAAGGATAGAGGATATACTTGGGGATGCCCATATCTCCAGACAAATCTCCCATTTTCAATGATTCCTTGTAATTAGAATATTGTTAAGGCTAGACATCAGGCAAAGAGTGCTTCTTGGCCTCTTAATCTAACCAATTTTATTTAAGTCTCTGTCATGGGAGGCAGAGCCCCATCTATTAGGGAATATGGGTGATGAGACACATAGGCCACCTTGTTAGTACCTATCAGGTTCTACCTGATGTCTGACCACCACTCCTTCACTGATGCTGCCCATAAAACTCCTCTCCCCATCTGTTCATGGTTGGAATCATAGATGGAAAAGGTTGACAGGAAACACAGAAGTGAAGTACCCCAGATTAAAAGCAGGAAAACTGACCAAGCAGGGGGAGGGGAGGAGTGAAAAGAATGGGAGGGATAAGGGAGAGGTTGCAGGGGGAAAATCAAAAGACTGAAGAAACAAGAGTAGAGGGAGTGAAATATATAGAACAGTATCCCCAATTCAACCAGGTGGTTATAGAAGAAACAGTCCTGATAAGGAGGGATAAGAAGAAAGGAGGGGAGGGAGGAGGGAGGCAGACAGCTTTTCTCTAGGAAAACAACGTGAGTTCAGGTGTGAGGGAGAACTCCCCAATACACATGTGGCTTTGCTGTTGCAGAGCCTGTTCTTGGAGGGACTTGGGACTGAAAGGCATTCTCTTGAAGGAGCTGAGTATCTGCTCCAGGGAGACGTGACAGGATAAATTCACATGATCTGGAATGGAGGATCAGGGAAGTTATTGGAAATATACACTCTATTTTCAGTCACTTCGATTGTGGTTGAATAGGGTTAAAGTATGAAAGCAAAGCAGTTAATGGAGACCGTGATTCTGACTGAATCCTCCCCTTCTCTCTCATCCCCTAATCCAGTGAATCCAGAAGGGATAATGGGACCCTCTTCCTTCCTCTAGCCTCCATCTTCTGTTCCTCCATCTTTTGAACAAAGCTCTTGGGAAAATCTGGCCATATTCACTCACACTAATGTCAACTCTGGCACCAGAATCTGCTCTGGCCTTCCCTGAGATACATGCCTTATCCTGTCTGTCTCAGGAGGGAGCCCGTATTGCTGTTGCTCTATTTATATTGGTTTTTCCTCTGTTATTCATATTGCCATGCCTCACCACCTTATGTATACTACATGCCCTACCCACACTTTAATTTCAGGAGTTGACTGGAGAATTCTTGGGATACAAAAGTTCATTTGGTACGTTTACCTTTAGGGGGCAGAAGCTCACCTGGGGCCTTCCAAACCCAATGAAACAACCATGCACACAGCTAGAGAGCCTGCACCCTCCAGTCTTCCCCAGTCACCCCATAATCTCAGAAAATTCTTCCTCATGTTCAATCTCAATCTGTTTTCTTTCAATATGGGCCTCTCTTTATCACACATTCTGATTGGGGATGAGGTATACAAACCCTCAAAGCCTGAAGAAAACTCTCAAATGCTTACCTGGTAACATTGTTCCACTGCCTATTGCACCCGGTCTCTGGAAAACCATCAAAAGATCCCTTAAAAACGCATTAATTTGGTATCAGCTCAGGTAGTCACCTCATGGTTCATGAAATCGAGCCTACATCAGGCTCCATGATGACAGTGTGGAACCTGCTTGGCACCCTCTCTCTCCCTCTTCCTCTGTCCCTATCCTGCTCATGCTCCCTCTCTCTCTCAAAATAAATAAAGTTAAAAAATAGTGCCACAATAAATATAGGAGTGCATATATCTTTTCAAATTTATTTAAGGAGCTTTTACATGTAAAAGGGAACCATCAACCAAGAAAAAAAAAGGCAACCTATTAAATGAGAGAAAATATTTGCAAATGATATATCCAATAAGGGGGCAATGCCCCAAATACAGAAAAATAAAGAACACTAAAAACAAAACAAAACAATCTGATGAAAAAATGGATACAGGACCTGAATAGACATTTTTTCAAAGAAGACATAGAGATGGGCAGCAGACATATGAAAAAATACCCAACATCACTAATCATCAGGGAAACATAAATTAACAGAACAATGAGATATCATTTTATACCTGACAGACTGGCTAAAAAAAAAGAATATGGATGTGGAGAAAAGGAACCCTCATGCACTGTTGGTGGGAATGTCAATTGGTGCAGCCTCTATGGAAAATAGGATGGAAGTTCCTCAAAAAAATTAAATATAAAACTACCATATGATCCAGTAATTCTGCTACTGGATATTATTTTAAGTAATCTCAGCCAACACCCAACACGGGGTTCAAACTCACCCCCCTGAGATTGTCAACATGCTCTACTATCTGAGCTATCCAAGCAGTACAACCACCCATCTTCCCCCACTACTAAATATTTAATTACAGAAATGAAAACACTTTTTCTAGTTTCTTTTAATAATTTTTGACACTGTAAGTAGTTACAGATACAAATGGCAAGTAGAATAATAAAAAGGAGGGGAGGAGAAGGAGCAAAGCCACATCCTTCCTTTTACAATAAGTACTGAATTCTATTAGTGTTCTCCCACAAACAATCCATGGGAGGCCCAGATTTCCATGTGATCAAGAGTACTATCCATTATTGTGCAGACCAGACTGCATTCAAGTATGATAATCTCAAAAAAAAAAAAAATGGGTACTAGCACTGTTGAGTTCAAGTTCTATAGTTTTGGCCCTAACTTAGGTTGGATTCCGTGAACATGCTGTACTGGACCCCATAGGCAAGGTAGACAGCAACCCCAATCAGCATCCAGACACCAAATCGGGCCCAGGTGCCACCTGTCATCTGCATCATAAGGTAAATATTCACAAAGATGCTCAGTAGTGGGAGG